AAAAAAATGTTCAAGAGATGGGAAATTTTGTTCAAACCTCCTCAGTGATTGCCAGATGTAACCACTGTCTTTTAACAGACAAGATCTAGTTACCATGGCTCTCCACAGCTTCTATTTTACATATCTGTAAACTGTACATTACCATGGTTATTCTTAAGATTTGTTTTTCTTGGATTCTCCTCAGCTTGAGTGTTCTTATTAACATTTATATAGATAAAAATATAATTTTGAGGTCTGCTATATTTATAGGTAAAAAAAGCTCAATAACAGGAACAGAGTGTACGTAAATATAAAAGTGGACACTGAAGTTAAAAAGGTCATATCTCAATTTAACTCTTGAAGATCATGGAACTGTGAAACCGGTAAAGTTACTCTAAATAAATATTCTTGAAGACTCCACTGGCATTTTTTTACCCCTGTGGGATATATATATATATATATATAAAAAAAAAAAAAAAAAACTTACACTATAAACAGTATATGGAGACATTTTTTGCTATATTTCTTTCCTTAAATGTTCTAATACTAATATGCAATATATCAGCTATGCTTCCTTGTATGGATATCAGGAACTTTTGTTTGTTAAAATATAAATTACAATTATGTTATCCTAGCCATATCAAGGAGAAAGTAATAACATTGTCTTTCCAATCATAAGCTCCAGGTATTTTATTTCCCCTTGATAGAAAAAGAAACACAAAACTAAATTTAAGAAATTGATCTTGAAAATAGTACAATAGGAAAAAAAAAATGTCAAAATAATAAATATACAAGCCATAAACGAATCTGATTTTTCCAAGACTTTGTAAGAATTGGATAAAAGCAAGATGATAATGGCTGGTAAAACAAACTACTTACAAATAAACATATATGGAAATAGGTTATTAATGTTGACTATATTCTAGAATTTACTTTTCATGACTTTACCAATTGTGTTTTTCTTTTTGGTGACAAATAAAAGGCAAGTACCAATTTCTTATTGAATAAGTTTTTGGTTGTGCCACTGAAAGATTAATACATTTAGAGTTCCCTTGTACTGGAAAATTCAAGACATTGTCAACCATCTAAATGCAAAAAAAGTATATCATCTGTTTGCTGATGCCATGGCAACTAGCCTACCATCAAATCACAGTGGAAACACTGATGCTTGTTCGATCACCAAAGTTATACAGCATAGTATGTAATTATCATTGGCATAAGAACATTTTCAAAGTTAAGTAAAAACATGATAAAAATAACTGTTCTTGAAAAGTCAATACATTGTATTTATATTATAAACAGGGATCTTTTCTAAAAGGATGAAAAAAAACATCAGAACTGTCATGTGAAGAGGAGGAGGCTATAATGAATCCTAATCAATAAAAATTATTAAAAAAGAAAATTATTTCCTATTTTTTATAAGCATACAAGTTTCCTCTCGGTTGTGGGCCAATGATAAAAAAAATACTGAAATCACCAGCCAGTCATTACTTAGATGGGTGACCACTTGGGAACATCGGGTATGGTAAGCAACCTCCTACAATCTGAAATATGTTTCAAGTTTAATTAACCTACAAAGGGTTGATAAGCCATAAAAAAAAAACACAAAAAAACAAATCAATCAAATCCATGACAACTGACATTGCTTTCATCTTGAAGAAGAAACCTGCAAAAATGTCTTTCAACCTCCATCCTAGAATCATTGTTCCATTTTTTATATACACAATTAAGTTCCAAAATAGATGTTACATTTGTAAATGAAAACATACAACATTTTTGCCAAGTTTAACAAAAACTTTACCAGAAACTTATAATAATGATGACTCCTCATCACTGAAATTCAGACAGAAATTTTTAAAATTTGTATGTTACTTTCCAAATATATCTTGTCTAAATTATGATTTAATTCCCCCAAAATCAAAATAAAAAATGCATCATTTTCTTACAACTGTGATTAATTTGAATACAAGTCCAATTATTGAAAAAAAAATTAATTTGGTAAAACAAGTATTTCCCAAACATTGAACATTGGCGTCTTGAGTGAATGAGGATATGTTTATGACACTCGTCATCAAAAAATATTGAATAATTATATTCGCATTCATGTCTTTGGGTTAGGTAAAACAATAATGAATAATATACACAATAGGCCAAAAATTTGGGCCACACTCTGGATTTTGAAGAATTGCCTAAATCTTAGAGGTTTCATGACTTTTTCAAAACTAATTTTCTATCTCATTTCAGGCCAGAGGACTTTCTCTTTCCAAAGTGTTTTAGCATATCTTCAATAATAATAATAATATAGATTGATTTGTTTTTTTTTTTATTGCTTATTAACCCATTGCATGTTATTTAAAACCAGAAAATATATTTAGATTGTAGAAATTATTTTAAAGATTATAATGATTTACTGATACAAGTCTTATTAATTAACCCATAGCTGGAGGGAAAGGAGTTGGATTCATACCTTTCCAAATTTAAGTGAATATAATGAACCCTACTGGATTTGGGACTCTCCAATTTCAATCTATTACATATTCTACACATCGAAGCTTATAGCACCTGGTATTCCCAAGCAGTCACCCGTCTAGGTACTGACAAGGCTCATCATTGCTTAACTTCACTGGTTAGACAAAAACCAATATCAGTAGTAATAATAACAAACTAATCCATTACTACATCAAATTTCCTCAAAATATTATCTCTTTTTACTTAATCTAGCTTAATTAGCTAATGGTAATCTTAAGGCATGCAGATTTTAACTTTTACGTAAGCCCCACTTTAAAAAGAATTGGACACTATGCACTCATGTGTTAAATAGCTTCAGCATCCTAGCTTAGAGTTAATTAAACCAAAAGTATAAAAGTTACTAATTATTAAATCCAGAAGGTACCTCCAAATCTATAGTGTAATTAAAATTTCTAAAAAAAAAGTATTAGATTTGTTTGTGTTTTACTAATCATAATTACTAGTTGGATAGGCTCACCTATCACATGGTTTCTCAAATAGTGGAATTAGATTGGAGATATTTCCTATTCTAATTGTATTTACCTTTTATCACTGTTACCACCAAAAGCTTAGTTTTGTAGATAATTTTTGTTTTTGTAATCAAATTCATCCTAAGCAAGGCAGTAAAGCCACTAAGACACAAGTGGTTATTGGGCATAAAAGAATTAGAAAACAGAAAACATTGTAAAGAATCAGGAACAATAGAAGAGTAATCAGGAAGACAGTAGATAATGATTGATATTGCATTTAAATTTTTGAAGATCAAAACTGGCCAGAAAGCTTGGAGCTGAGAGAGAGTTCCACAAGCAAGAAGTACAAGAAAAGAAACTGTTAATATAGAACATCTAGCCAATTCAACTGTAAATGGAGGAGACCTTTCTGCCAATCTAGTACTACACTAGATTCATAGTCTAGGTACCATAATGAAGAGTTTATTCAAACAATTACCATGAAAGTATTTATAGAAAAGGCAAAGGGAAGCAATTTTACAGTGATGGGAAAGTGACTGAAGCTGAGACACTAGACCAATAATATTGCTGATTCTTCTTTGGATTTTATAAAGAATCTCTAAATATATAGCAGGAGCACCAGACCAAACATAGTAGCAATATTTTAAGTATGGGCAAATGGTAGACTTATCGATATGTAAGATAGATTCTGGAATGTTTGCAGACTTATTTTTATTTAAACACATAATAGCTTGATCACGCCAAAAGTTACAGATTTATTTTGTGATTTCTCAACAATTCATTATTAAATTTCCGTCCTATAATAACCAGGTATAGGCTTCTGAATGTCCAGGAAGCCTTACAAGCCATTTATAAGACCGATGATGAATTTTATTCTGATGATAACTCAGACTTTGGCAGCACTGGCAGTAGGCCAAGAGCATGCATTTTACAATACATTGTGCATTTTTCATTAATTTTATTGCATTTGGTTTCCATGGAAGCAATCAATACCAGATATTCATGAGCAAAAATTCCTCTACCAAAGAGCCTCAGCATAAATGCATAGGCAGCTCATAAATTGCATCTAAATTTAAATTACATTAAAACTGGTGAAATTTAGAAATAAATTAAACCTGGAAAGGGTTAATCTGATTTTATTGACTTCCAGGTTTTAAAATTTTAATTAAACTGTAATTTAAAATTGTCCCAAATGATAACAGACAGTTATGTTCTCCCTTTGTGTGATGTCCCATTTTTATGCATGACTCGTCTCACCATGATGAGAATATGCGTGTTTTTTTTTTTTTGTTTTTTTGACATGGATGTTGTCTCTTCATCCAGGTGTGTTTAAGTCTCTTTTCTGTCTGTAATTCTCTCCTTGACTGGTAAATGCTTAATGATCATTCTGTATAAATTCTCTAGCCAAAAGGTACATCATTATAATGTATACTCAAGCCATGTGACAAATAAGTACTATTTTCTTTCAATTATATTCATGTTACTGAATACAAAAGATGTGTCAATTGATCATGCCATCCATGATCTTTCAAGGCAAATTGTTAAATCTATTATAACAGTATTCTCTTTTTATATCTTTGAGTACAGTGGGTACACAAATAGATGGAGAAAGATCTGGCTAGTCGAGTGGAGAGTTTATTGCTCATGAATACCAAATTTTTCAAAACATTCATTGTCTTGCTAGCTCTAAGAACAGGTACATTGTCCTACAGCAAATAGAACACCTTTTTGCATCTTCTTTTGCCATTTTTCTTTCAACACCTCCTTTAAATCAGCACAGAAAGTTATAGTAGTATGTTGCTCTTTGAACATTCTGGAGTTTGTCAATCATCAAAGTACGTTCATTATCATAAGAAACATTGACCATTTCCTGTTGACTTTTGCATCATAAATTTCTTTGAACATACAGACTTTGGATGCCATCACAGCATAGACTGTTGCTTGGTTTTTGGATCTTGGCTCACAAAATTTCCATGTTAAAAGTAAGACAGGAACTGATTACCCAATGTTTGTATCATCCACTTTTGGTAGGCTTATGATCATGTTGAAACACTGGTTCTCGTATGATCACCAAAGTTAAGCAACCTCGAAACTGGTCAGTGCCTAGATGGGTGACCACTTGGGAATACCAAGTCCTCTTAGTTTGGATGTACAGGTAGTACAATAGATAACAGCTTAGAATTGGAAATCAGGGATCCAAGTTCCAATTCCAATCATGTTTGTTATATTCACTTATGTACAAATACCCTTGGGAAAGATGTGAATTCATCTCTTCTATCCCCAGCCATGGGTTAAATAGTACAAATTGCATCAGTAAATCGTTATTACCACAAAAAAATTCTTACAATCTAAAAATATTTTCTGGTTTTAAAATAACCTTCAGAAGGTTGTTAAACTGTAAAAAACAAATCAATCCACTTCTGGTAATGTTCATATTAGTCATTCCTTATAAGTATTTATTAGTCATTCCTTATAAGTATTTATTAGTCATTCCATATATTTATTTGGCCAGTGCTACTGTCAGTTGAAATTTATGAAATCTTTGTATTAAAACAATTTTTCAAGAAAATAAGTTTTGCAAGTCCAGTAGCTGTTATCGCTCTTTCCAGTATTGTTGGGTGTTTCCTTCCTTGCCTTTTATTTAAAGTAGTGTGGAATATCAACATATTGATTATGTCATTATATTCTCTTCGAGTTACATGTATTAACTATTTTAGCTGTTGCTACTATTGGAAGTCCTCAAGCTGTTATTTTGGTAAAGTTCTTTTCTTATGATTCTGTAATGCCATTCCACAAGGTTCGAAGAAGGATGGAACTCACTAAGACCTACAGGCTTCATACATTCATAGCTTTCCTTTCTTTTGGAGTTTTCCTCTTGTTTATACTAAGATTCACCCAATACAAGGCTTAAGAGTCACTCAAGGTCGAGTGTTACTAGTAAAATGGTAATAACGAATGTGATATGATTGACTCTCAATTTAAAGAGAAAGCACCTAGACAAGAATCTGTTCCACAAAGTAACAATTCTTGTGTAAAAGTTGAGTGAAACTTTCTCTTTACATTTGGAATATAGAGAAAATGAGGGTGATTCGACACTTAGGAAGTAGAAAGGCATGTTCTAACTGTAAAGGTTTGAATTAGTGGAACTCAAAAATGGAGCATATTCGAATATTTGCTATGGAAAGGATAGAAAAGTGACAGGATTGCAATTTTTGCATTTGTGGCGAAATCAACTGCAGGGTAGAAAATAAGTGTTCCCCAAAAAAAGACTCTAAATGATTTTTGAACTCAAAAGAAACCAATTTTCTTCTGATATCCCTCAATCAATGGGATGAAATAAATTAGCACTTTACAATTTAAGATAATTTTATTTTTTTTTTAAATCATTGTATAATGAATCAATGTATACAGGGGATTTCAGAGAGTGAAAGTGAGAGAAAAGACTGGGTTTAGAGTGGATTGAGGAAAGAATAAAAGATGAGCTGGGTTCAGGGACACAAGTAAACAGAAGGAACTTCCACAGGTAGGAAGTGAAAGAAAAAAAACTGTTCAAGTGATGATTACATTTAACTATTTCAGCAGTAAAAGGGTGGGAACTAGATGCCAAGCTAGTATCATGCTTAAACTCACTTTGTCCATGCACCAGGGGGAAAAAGCTTGTCAGAGCAGTAGCCATGAAAATATTTGCAGAAAAGACAAAGGGAAGCCACATTGCATCTGAGAAAGTGACCCAAGTCGAGATGCCAAATCAGGACCAAATACATTGGTTCTTTGGATTAACCAGGCATGCCAACAAGTATTTTTTTTTTTTTTTTTTTTGAAATTAGGGTTCCCCCCCACTCCTTTTTAAACTTTTAAATGAAGTAATAATTTATTTTCTAGTTTCCCAAATAGATTATTTTCATCATAAGTTATCTATCATAGTCTGATGAAAGAACATTATAGTTCCGCAACATAAAATATTATAATTACACACACAGACACACACACACACACACACACACACACACACACACACACACACACACACACACACACACACACATATATATATATATATATATATATATATATATATATATATATATATATATATATATATATATATATAATAGAAATATACTCTGAAGGTGTGCTATATTTATGGGATAAAGTGCTCAATATCAGAGATAGAGCATGTGTAAATATAAAAGTGAACATTGAAGTCAACACTCAGAGGCGACAGGCTGTTTCATGCTAGGCGCAATTGTCAGGCCACACAATTGCACTTTAGCATGAAACAGACTGTTGCCTCTATGTTGACTTCAAAAGAAAGAATTAAAAAAAAAATTCTAATATTGGGTTATTTTGTCAGATTTTGGGAAGTGGATGAGCAAGAACTATGTATTTACTTATTTCAAAATGTGTCAAACATGCAATAATTAAGTTTTCTGAAACCATTTTTAAATGCCAACAAATAATTTCTAGTCAATATTTACAAGAATGTCTCTGTCCTCATTTTCATCAGTAATTGTTGAATTTTTTCTCTAAAGTTTTTCTTTTCTTCAAAAATATTTTAAATCAAAATCAATTTCTTTAAAGAAAAGAACAAAAGAAAAACCCAGACAAACATGAATTTTATGAATTATTTTTATCGCTTATTTTACCTTCGGAATTTGTTGATTCCTTACTGGGAATGATGCTTGCTCCATTTAAATAAAGTCCAAGACAAAACCTGGGTTCACTGTGTGAGCCCAAATCGATTAATCTCCAAACTGAGTCAGACAAAAAGAGGTGCACACGCAAGAGCAATTCAATATTAAATAAATCCACCATGCCTGACACTATAATGGAACATCGACTGGCTGTATGTTGCCACGACAACCAGCCTACAATGTATCAGTTGACTGTTAGCGATACTGAGAATGCCTTTACATGGCAAAGAATGAATGGAGCCCCAAAGCTGCAGAGGATGTTGGTTTTATTGACCGCCAATCAATCAACGGCTCATAACAGCTGAATCAGTGCAGCACTTTGAATTCAAAAGTGCTACTTTTGCTTCCCGATGCAACCATGACAACAACAACAACGATGATGATGATGATGATAATGATGATGATGATGACGACGATAAAGTGTTTGCTTCTTAACTGTTTTCACTGGAAGAATAAAGTCATGCATGACTTGGTTTCAAAATCTGCAAAGTCTTGGGTGAATTGGAAATGGATTCACCCCCCTCCCACCTTTTGCAGCCAGGTGGAATATCCAAGAATCTCAGGAAATACCGAGCAGAATCTGGGAAGATTATAGATTCTGGGAAAGGCGCAGATGGCAATGATCTCAACCAAATAAATACTCTGTCCAGGGCAACAGTTGCATTTTTTTTTAATACCAGTAAGTAAGAATTCAGATTAGCATGAAGGAGAACGGTACTTATAAGTGTTATTATTATTAAATTTGAACTAATATCCTTATGATATATCATTAACTAATCATGCAGCAACAATTATATAATGACTAACACGATAAAAATATTTTTACTGCGTTATTCCTAGTGCTAGTGTCTTGCCAAGTTGAATATTAATCCTGAACTTTGAACTGACATGTATATGGGCTTAATGAGTAGCAGCTTAGAATCAGAAATCTGAGAGTTGAATTTGACTTCTAGCTGGTTTGTTAGACTCCCTTATATGCAAATACCCTTGGGAAAAGTATGAATCTATCTCCCCCTAGTTATGGGTTAAATAGTAGGAATTGTATCATTATTCTCAAAAAAAAAATTGTTAATACAATATTCACTCACAAAAAATAAAAATGATTCTTATAACTCAAAACATATTCCAGCTTTAAATAAGCCACAAAAGGGTTGATAAGCAATGAAAATGGATTAGTCAATTAAACTTTGAACTTAGTGTTAGGCAAAAGATTAAAAAATAAAGTATACGATGGAGGAGGTATTGCTTTACATTTATAGACAATGAAAAAATTTTTTCTTATTTTTTTTTATTTGTATTTTTATTTTTTTATTATTTTTTTTTATAAACCTACATCAAACAAGATAGGTTTAGTTATTAATTCCATTAAGGCATAAGAGAATACTGGGAATGAAAGTGAATGCAAAGACTTCAGAAGGAATGGGGTAAACCCAATCCAAGGTAAGAAACAAGGGAGGAGTGTAAATCAGAGGATAGGCAAACCTATTGATTGATTGATTTTCTACGACTTATCAACCCTTTGCAGGTTATTTAAAGCCAGAAAATATTTTAGATTGTAATATAATATATATATATATATATATATATATATATATATATATGTGAAAATATATAGAAAATAGGAAGGAACTGGTTAGGTAAATAATCCAAAGTCCCTTAGTATTTTAGTTATTATTTTTAAAAAATAGTGCTCGATACAAAAGTAGAGCATAAATATAATTATTTATTTAAAAATATGATTCCAAATCGCTACATAAGAGGTCTCATGTTTCAAAACAAGAGCCGAAAACTTCAATATAATCCTTTAAATTAAATTGAGTTGAAAGTAAAATGGGCTCCGTTCCATCTTCAAGCGAAATTTTTGTTGGAATAACGTATATCTGAAATTTACTTGTTTTAAAATTGAAATCAAAATCCCCATGGTAACAGCTAGAGTGAATTGTCTAAATTGGGTAGGCGAGTGTAGGGTGTTTATAATAAGTAGTGGTATAGAGATACTTTCAAGGTGTCAAGTCGGGGAAAGGTGGGGGTGTCAAGTCGGGGTAAGGCGGGGGTGTCAAAAATGAAACGGAAGATGTATTGGCCATCGTCTAGTTTTCTTGTCTATGGAGATTTATTTATTTATTTTATTTTATTTTATTTTATTATGAAAGGGAATTGTGCATATAAAAAAAGAAAAACTTTCGTAAACTTTCATAATTCAAACCAAAAATCTGATGATGCCTACAAAAAACCGTTAACTCGTGTCTATTAGAATTACCACAGAATTAATACAACATTTATTTTCTAATGGGCAGTCTTCTGTCTTCTGTTGTATTAATTCTGTGGTATACCAATGTACTATTTCATCCACAGAGAGCCCTAGCACTAATATGATATACTTTGGGTCCACGAAGAATAATTTTAAAGATAGATGGAGGCAGCATAAGTGCTCCTTTAA